CAGAGGAAGTGGACAGTGTAGACACAAAAGGAAAAACGTATACCTTGGCGCATGATTTATTAAATGTTCTCTTGGATAATATGGAAATTTGCCTGAAGATTAAATAATATCGTTAGGTTGGACATCTTACTACAACCCTTAAAAAAGTAGCTTACCAGCTACAAAAATGTCATTGGTAGAAATCCCTGGCCAGATTTCTTCAGAGGGTGTACCAAGTACCTGACAAAAACAACGATGTTTAATYACTGGTACTTTGGATAGGGTATCGTTGGTACCAATACTGTACCTTAAAGATTAAATGAAGTTGATCTTCAACTGTATAACCAGGAAACAACGGTCGTCCAGTTGCCATTTCATAAAATATACAGCCCACTCCCCTGAAACGGTTTAAATATGAATTATTAAAAATACTTATACTGACATATAATGATTAACAAGGCAGGTACACCAATTAGTGCAAGACTTTAACAGAGTAAACACAATTAAAACATTAAGAACAACAGCAACAATGACAGATATAAACAATAAAAACAACAAAACTGTACAAAATCATTACCAACATCAAGACAACGCAAATTGTTTCTTACCACATATCAATCTGAGTGGAGTAAGCTCTTGATCCAAGTAAAACATCAGGAGGTCGATACCTAAATATTAGCACATTTATATAATAGTCATCATTATAACCCTGAAGTATATTATAAGATAGTTATATTTTACTAACCATAAAGTGACAACTTCATTAGAATAGGTTTTAGTTGGTACTGACTTTGCTCTGGCAAGACCTGAGTACAACAAAAACATTGATATTGATATACTTCTCAAAATATTCATCAATATGGGAATTCACTTGGTTTTTTATGCAAGAATAATAAGCCTTTTCTGAAACATTTATATGTCTATTGCATTATCTATTGCATTATGTTCTAGAATAAGTTAAAACACCTTTTGTTCATAATTATGATGTTATTTTTATTGAAGCTCGACCACAATGAACAGTGGTTTTGTTTTTCAGAAAGTCATTCTTAGCTTCAAGAAACAAAGTAGTGTGAAAGACAAAGATATTGTTTGCAATCACTATTGATCTAACTGTTTTCTTATGTCTATCTGAGTATTCCATATATGGTAATAGCTAACAAGCGTATAGCGGTCCCTAACAAGCGAATAGAAGCACCTAACAAGCGAATAGCGGTCCCTAAGGAATCCCAATTTTCCGGTGCTATTAGCAATGCAAAATACTTTAAATGTCACAAACAATTCGTTGTTCGCCAGCATAATCCCTCGTGGTCAAGTTAGTTAAGGTGCTTTACACTTGTAGCTCTAGTCGTAGGGTTAGGTTTAGGGGAAAGGACAGGTCAGTCTATAAAATGTTAAATTCATAATTGTAAGTTAAAATTTGATTAGAAAATTTTTAATAAGTGTTAAAAAGTTCAATAAAAAAATGTAGAAAAATAAACAAGTTGAAAAAAAGTATGGACCCCTGTTCCCTCATTAGGTGCTTCTATTCACTTGTTAGGTTGTTCTATACACTTGTGCCATATATGGAATACGTACTACAAACCCGCCTCGTCTATCTTCATTCTAATCAGTATTGTGCTAGTAGCTTATTAATAACTCACCAAAATCAGCTAATTTGAGTTCTCCCCTGTCATTTATAAGTAGATTTTGMGGCTTGAGATCTCTGTAGAATGATACAGCACAATTTTAATTAACTATTGTTTATACTCCACTGTCTAGTATTATTACATTACTAATAAATTCATTTTATTTTTGCTAATTCTAGTAACTAAGTATTTTATTCCATTTCATTCCATTCCATTCACTTATTTAATTTCACTTTTAATTTCAATTTTCTCATTTTGTTTTTCACCTTATCCCATTCCATTCACATATTTTGTTAAAATACTTTGTCCCATTTATCCATCCATTCTATCTGATTTCTTTCCATTGCATTTCAATGATAGGACAGTGCATGTCATATAAATTAATCTGACCTGTGAAGAACCTTTCTTCTGTGACAATACTCAAGACCTCTCAAGAGTTGAAACAAAAAAATCTGAAGACAAAACAAAGATTATCATCTATTACTAATAATAATAATAATAATAATATGTGTTATTTATATAGCGCCGATATCCTCTGAGTTCAAAGGCACTTCACATGTATAGATCATTTATTCTATTACTAATAGGTATTCTTTATTATGTCTTTCCAAGTCAGATAAACTTAAAATTCTACAATTCTTTGAAAATAACCCATCTAAGCCAACAAATGATGATGAGAACTAATGTCAGACTTGTTTGTAACCATCAATGTGTTACAGCAATTAACATCTGCACAGATGAATGATCCCATTCAAGACAGGAATTACAGCAGTGTTCTCAATAAGATGTCAATTATAATCCAAGTTAATTATTCAGTGTAATATTTTTATGAGTACTTTAACACTAATATTGCTTTTAATAAGAAGGATATTTTTGTCATCTTTAGACATAATTTCAAATAACATATTTTTGTTCTAGAAAAATCTTTAGGCAATGTAATAATATAGTGAGCCAAGGTCAATCAACCATGTCAGATTTTAATACTGCTATTGTTGATAGTATAAAAGCAAAGCAGGGATTCCAACTTGTTTACAGTTCTTTGTTACTTCTTAATGTCTGCAGGTCATCCATAAGACAATTAAACTGAACCAGATGAKTGTTTAAAGGATTAAGATAAATAACTATTGTTAAGATTTATTTTTGGATCCTTTTAGGCCAAGTTCAGACATCAACAGTACGTAGCCCTTATCTCCTATCCTGTATTGCAATCATGTGCATTCATTAAACTTGTTATGATATGAACTGGACAAACCACAGATATCCCAACACTCTTCCTTGCACTCACCTGGATACTAACAATGACCAACTCCACACCCCTCCTCCCCCCAAAAAGATTTGGTACTCACCCTAACATTATGCATACTCATTATGGAACCACAATTGTCCATGTACTGTTTCAAATCCTTTTCCTAGATGATAACAAGAATTCAAACAGTTGTTAAAATACATAAAGCTCTTCCCAGCAGCCATAGATAAGCATGTCATGTTACTGTACACACTGTAAGAGTCAACCATAGCAAACTTTATGATTCTATGAAAACATGAATAATGCTGACTTACCAAATATTCAAAGACTAGTGTAAGAGCTTTGTGTGTGTGAACTGTGTCATGTAGGGTGACTATGTTGGCATGTTTTAAATCTTTTAACAGAGAAACTGCAAAATAAAATTAATATCAGCAACAGAAGCAGTGAACTGCAGTTGGGTTTGAGGGGGTTGGTGATACACAGTGTATTATGGGAAGAGCAGTGGATGGTAGGAAGTGGGGTGAGGCAGCACAGGGAGGGGGGGTGTCTTGGTTACTACCTGTTATAGCATTAATACATGGGTGGAGGGGACCCAGTAACAAAAATGGGGAGGAGTCAACAAAAAACGGTCTTCTTTCATAGAAGTACATAAAGGGGACATAAAGGGGGGGGGGGAGGGTAGTGTTCTATATATTTTCATGAAGGGGGAGGGGTGGGAAATAACTACCTTCTCTAATAGCAGTACATGGTGCCCCTTCTTCATGCTCCAGCCTAATCTCTTTTAAYGCCACTAAGTTATCAGTCAATCTACAACAAACATATCTGGTTACAACTTGATAGCCAACAGTTGTACAGGTGGACAAACAGAATGAACTTTATCTCAGCTTTATTTGTAAACATGTAGATATTTTATAAGATATTTTTTTCTGAATAAGAGACAAACAAACTAAAAATAGCCATCTGACRCCTGCTGCCATGTTTCCATGGAAACAAATGGACAAACAATATCTCTTCAGCACGATAAAAAAAGAACAAGCTTAACTGATTGAAAGGCTTTTACTCTAAGGACACTATTAATGCATATAGGATATCTTAGGTGAAGTTTATCTATTTCACCTCAGGTGCATAGGGAAGTAGTAGAAGCAGGCCTCTAGCATACTATCACATACAATAGTCAAACAATACAACTCTTTTATAAAGTATAGAGTTAAATATGCCTTAAACCAACTTCTGAACTTGCATGTGTATACTTCTAGTCTCTGAACCATGGTCAGAAAAAATTGCTCATGTTATCTAATATTTGATCAATAAATATCATGTTTCCATGACTACTGTGATAGACAGTAATATTGTGTTGCCATGACTACTGATGAGCTGATGAAGTCTAACTGATTTGAGATGATTGCCATACATTAAACATTAAACACTTTTTTAATGTACTCACTTGCTTTTGCCTTTGAAGACAGTAGCATAGGTTCCCTATAAAAATATTTGTACAGTACTATTTAGTAACTGCAAAAACAACTTTATATTTACAAAATATTCAGTTATTATTAATAACTTCATAACATATAAATGTACCTCTCCTAATTTATCAAGTTTGGTGTAGGTTTCCATCTTCCCRTAACCCAATTCAGACTACAGGAGAAAAAATATAACTTGTAATTACAAATTCCTATTAATACACATATCTTATGAAATAATATCAGTGTAGTAAAAAGATCTAGAACTATTAACATTCCTATGAATTCTATTTGCTTTATTATGTACACTCATAAAAGAAATGCTATCTGCATTGTCTTTGAAATTATCATCAATAAAATAACCAAAACAAACTTACTAAAGACAGTCTTCTCGACGTTCTACTGAGGGCATTATTTGTTGATTCAAAGGAAGGATAGCGATCCAAGTTCTTTTGGGCTGATGTAGGACTTTTTGAAATGTCATTAAGAGATGTGCCATAGTGTAAGACAGGTAGAGACAGTCTTTTACTGGCTCCACTTGATGCTGCGAGAGTCTGATGAATGATTGAATAAAATACAGTATGACACAATAAGTCAAAGAAAAATTATCCCCCATAACAAGAAGACTTATTCATATTCAGACATCTTTTATAAAGGCCAAGAATCATAATAAAAGAATAAATGTCTTTACCCTGACAATAAAAAGAAAGCAATTACTAACAAAAATGKCTCTGGAATCATCGTCTGACAATGTCTCAAGTGTTCATAAGTACTGTTTTGATTGTGGGGAAAAAGTAATTTCATTCTGAAGCACTTGGTTTCATCAAAAACACATTCAGACCAAACTAATTTACTTGTTGTTTCACGATCATATGATGACAAATCACAACAAAAATCAAATGMAGTTTCTTCATGCACACAAGACAGTTTCTACCGCTTGTATGTTATTATAGTCATACCAGAAATCTTGTCAACTTACAGATTTTGACCGAGGTTTCAATCTCATGACTGGTCTAGGATAGGAGTTATCATCAGACGTATCTAAGTTGTTGACTTTTTCATCACTGAAAGCACTATCGTTGGCATCAAATCCTAAATCAAAGAGATTGTTATATCCTGTACAAACACAAAATAACATATATGATATCCTGTTATTCCAATATTGATTGAGATATCTTTTACCAAAACAGTACGATATAAATACCCCAATATCAAATGGTCTGATTATCATACTCTACACTCTACTTCTGTTATCCACAGATATAACATTTTCAATACTACAACAACCAACCGTATATCATACAGACTGTACTTAAATAATAAATATTATACGTACATCAAATTCATTATCAATTATTTATATTTCTTCAAATAAATAATACTAACACTATATTCATATGCTATACTAATATAAGTGTCTTATGGACCTCTACAATATAGCTTCCTGAAATAAAAGATAACATATCAAATACCATCATGGAAAAAAATCAAAGATACGTGATCAYGTCTCATATCATTCTAAATGAGTGTAGGGATGATGCTATCTCRTATTGACTACCACAAGGAAAGCCATCCCTATCATGAAATAGATTATAAAATGATCATGATCTTGAACTAAAATAATTTCATTTAATGTATTTATTACATGCCTCTGACAGCTTCAATTTTAAAAACATAGAATGAAGAATTTTAATAAAACTTAGATTTTTCATAAAAATCAAATCAACCAAAACTACCAGGATCACATACAAGTAATGATATTTTCAGAAAACCACATTCACAACAACATAAAAATGGACACTCCAGAATAAGGTCAAATCCATAAAATAGTGGCTTTCTTTATTAATTGACTTGATAATTATGGATCATAGGAAGCTTGCTGATAATAACAATTGAACATATTAATAGAATAAAAACAGTTTTTATTCAAAATGTCACCAAGATGACTATTGATCTAATTTGTGGATTCTATGAGAGACTTTTGTGATGCTAAATTGTGGAGTATTGCACTGGCATAGCATTGGTTCCTACAATATCACACGTTCTGGATCATTCAAGCATAACAATATAATGCCATTTGACTAAACCACATAAAACAATTAACATAGTATATAGAAATATAATTATATTAATTCTATATGATTTGTATGGTATTACACCAACACTAAGTTAATGGAGACACTTCAGATATATTTTTCCGGTATACAAAATGTACATGTAGGAAGTCGATTTTTATGCTCAAGAAAATCAAAAGAAAATAAACAGAATACATTGATTTTGCCACTCCAAGAATCTAATTTCTMGAATCATTAATGTACTTTGTTATTATAGCTTTTCATGTACTAATGAAACTAGGTGTAAATCATTGTTAAACATTCATGAAACAGTGAATAGGTATTGTTCTAGTTTACATTTTAGTAATTATTCCATTCTGTCAGGAAAATATTGTAATTGCTGTTTATTAACACAGACAATCACACAAAGATGGTCATATACAATTCAATTATTTTCCTATAATCCTGTTTTAGACTGGATCAACTGTACAAGGCTCTTTATATCTGTTATTTGATCTTCTATACTTAGTGTTTTAAGATTTGGGTGAGAATAATAGTTTTTATTTCATAATGATCAGAGTACAAAGGTGGTTATTTTTTAAGGAAGTAATRGATGATGTGCCTCATGAATTGTTACTTCAATCTTGACAAGATATTGTTCTTTCTTGGGTTATTTGCCACCAGAGTGACCTCTTCTTCAAACAACACAAAGCTGTCCTTGAAAGATTACATTATATAACCTCCTTGTTCTACTTGTGAAAAAATGCTTGATTTCATGACTTTTTGATGAATTACATTCAAATTTTCTTCATCAATAAAGGAAAGACAAAAGAGAGATTCCAAAAATTTAGTTATGTTAAAATTTAGTTATGTTTGCAAATTGACTAGGATCAATCCAATCCTTGCCCTCTAATACTTGCTTCTAGAGTTTCAGTGAAGGTTAAACCCATGCAGAAAGCAGTTCATGCTAGTTCAGTAAACAATAACATTGTAGATAAATAATAAAGAGCAGCATTAAGTTGTCAGAGAGGTTAACTTAATATTTTTAAAACCGCTTCAATATTCCAGCTGCCGCCTGTAGAACCGTGCTGGAAGCCCAAAATTCATGGGAGGATTATTAATTTGACAAATACCCAAATTCATGCAATCCCACTGGGTATTCTGTATTTATGTTTTGTTGATGCAATTGAGCTTTATTCGTTTAAGCTACATTTCTGGACATATGACAGAATTGTACAAATGTATCCAGGAATTTATTTTTTTAAATGTTATTAATGTTTCTTTGTAAGTAAGAGTGAGTTTGGATAACACAAAACCTCTAGTGATGGTCAACCAGAACTGTAAGTCCTTTACAAATAAAACACGATAAGCAGAAATAATGGACATAAAAGCTATTCTCTGTACTCTGAAGAAATTATCAAAAAATCCTGATTAAGAATCAATGATGTCTTGTTAATTGCTAGAAAGAACGAGACGTGATAATCAATACATTGGCGGTCGCTACTAGCTACATCATCCATGATAATTTTCTTTCTTTATATCAAAGATAACGCGTTTACCTCAAGATCAAAACAAAATCCACAGCTTACCATTATTACGGCCATTGCCATCAGGACCCATTTGTTCTTCCAGTTCTGATAAAACATCTTCACTTTTCAGGCCACGAAGTGACAGGGCTCGCTTTATCCTTCGCATGGCCAAAGCGGTCTGTCAATTTCCTAACTTCACTCTCTTAAAATCATGGCTCAGCCACTTATTCCAGTTTCTAGATCGAAGTAAATACAAACAATTTATCCAAATAATGTACAGAAAAAAAATCCAAAACCAGCGGCCAATGTTTCGAGTAAATTCGGAATTAAAAAATTGTTTGCGATGACCACAAGAGCTGTATAGAACGCGAAGTTTGACGATTCAGAGATACACTTTGTGCGCTATACAGCGAATGAAGGCCTTTGTTATTTATATAATTGCAAAGCTATTCCAATACCTACCTGCWTAATAAATACAATCATTATTTCGTGACAGGAAAGCGTTGGCGTACAGTGTTTCCTGCAGTAGTGAAGGGATAGGACGGCCAAGAATTGTTCACAACACAACACTCAAATTAACAATCTGGCTTTGGGAGAAAATCAAAACCACTACGACATAACAATCGATGAAGTGCACAAAGTTGTTCGAAGCGATGTGGAATATTTTCTTTGTAACACTGAGAGTTCGGTACAGAATTCTGTAATGTTATCAGACGCTTTCTCCATCAAACAGACATAATCGCCATATTGGATATGGGATACCCACAATCCCTTGGTGTCTAATTAACTCATTGGGCACGTAAGGACTTGCTGCCTGGCTGAGGTAAAATGCCAAAAATTGACAAACTCACAATGATGATGATAGAAATATTAATTAATAATAGATGTTACATAAGAGCACTTAGAAAAGCCCCAAGATTGTAACCCTTGACCTGAGTCTTGTAACGTGAAGTGTCAGTCACGACAGTCTCAGCAGGTCAGCTTGAATACGCCCCACTTTGCATGTCTACAAATATTACTGTACTAAAACTGAGTGCATTTTCAAATTCAGCTTAGTAAAATTACAACAGTTTGTGCTTTTTATTTAGATAGTCCTTCCATTTGTGGGGAGACATTGTATTCTAAATCCGGCCTCCTGATAATTATTGCGCAGCCCTTTGTTATTTTTTTATCAAGAAAAACGGTAATACTTTTATGGTCTTTTAAGATATCGGGAAGCATTGCATTCCGCAATATTTTGTGTAACACAAGTATCGCGCACCAACTAGAAGATTCTCTTTCCTTTTTGTGAATTATTATATTCTCGGTTTTTCGGCATTTCCGTAATCATCTTTTAATACCAACTATAGTCATACTAATTGCAGTTATTGTCCAATTTGCTTTTCCCCTTCCCACTCAGTTCTCTCTCTCTCTCTCTCTCTCTCTCTCTCTCTCTCTTTTTTTTTTTTTCTTTTCTTCGTTTCTTTCTTATTTGCGTGTATTATATGTATGTATGTCCGTACATTTTTGTTTTGTTTCTTCGTTCCCGTTTCTTTGAAGCATTAAGAGGAGGCGAAGATAACTCTAAATTACCTAAAACAGGTTCTGTCATGACGATACCACAGTCCAAACACAACAATAATCCTAAATTCATTATTTATTTATTTTGTATTGTTTGGCTGTCAATCTATATAAGTTATCATCGGGCTCCCTGTGGTATCTTACCAAACAAATATGGCGACTGGCTGGGATGGGAGCCGCTTGCTGTTCTCTGTTTTACAACATAACAACAGGCCTTTTCAAGTATCTCTTACCTCTAAATCTCTCTYCTGGACTTCAGATGGCATAGAGGAATACAAATCAAGTAAGTTTAGTGGATTGCGTGTCTCCTATTTAAGTTGAAAATAAATTGAAATATGAAGTTGATATTGGACGGGTTTTACACATTTTCCGCATTGGTGTATACGCCATGTATTTTCCCTTAAATTTAGATTGAGAATTTGGTAGATTTATATAGAATATAGACACCACCTCCACTTATGGTTAAGATAGGAGTGTATAAAAATTCTTATCAATTGAAAACAAACCGCAAACCAATGTCTTGTTAGGAACCCACACAATTTAAACTGGCTCTAAACTGACCTGATCTTGAATGTAAACATTCACTGAGATTGAAAATGCTTATAATGTAAACTATTTTGCTTAAACGTTTTATATTCCTCGAAGTCATTCGAACTTTAAATTTTGTATTCAATGTGTCAATCAATTAATATGGAGCTTTATAAGTGCGTAAAAATCGTAAGCTTGATCCTTTTTAAAACAAAAGTGAAATGGTGTTCGTTAGAAAAAAAATTAGTGGAAGCGGTATTTAGCTTATTGTCAGGACTATATAAACTTTTTCATAGATAGAGAAGGGTTTTTTTAATCATTATAACATTTTKTCATTTCAATTTATTATTTCCTTAGAGCATAGTTGTCACATAAACACAATTCCTTTGAAAGAAATAGTAACCATTACCCCATTCAATCAAGACAATGTCAATCAAGACAGTAATGGAGATCTTGAAATGTCATCATTAAAATGCTCATTTGTTGTGCACATCATAAGAAGGATGAAGCATCATAAATGGCGGACAAGAGCACTTGTATTTGAGTGTCAGACTAGCAGACTCTGTCAACAATGGATAGATATTGTCCAACAACAGCTTGCTAGTAAGAAAATCCTATTTGTCGTTGTTTCATAGTGTACTATCACACTTGTATATTTTGTTTATGTACTCTTGGGATACCTGTTGCATGGCACCAAAGGAGACAGACCCCTACCCCCAGTGTTGCAAAGGCTGGATAATCCACCAGATAGTATTGTCTGCTCCATATGGATTTTAYCTGCTAGATAAGGATTTATTTTGTGGATAGCACTAATCACTCTTCATACAATTGGCCACGGATTTCTTGCAACACAGGGATCCCAAGCATAGTTTGTCTCGAGTTTTCCACAGAATTTAGTGTCATCATTCAGGGGCAGATGGAGAATTACTCTGATAGCAGATAGTTTATGTTGTATTCCTTGATTGTTTTCCATCAAATGTAGGTACAATACGACCCAAAAGGCTTCTAGTGTTCATCAACCCTGTTGGTGGCAAGAAACTTGCCGGAAAGATCTACAGAGAAAAGATACAACCTTTGTTTGAACTTGCTGATATAGATGCTGAAGTCATAGGTAAACCTGATTGTACAACAATATAATGTTATTGAATCAAAGTAGAAAATACTAGATTTTGTATGAGTTTGGCATGGATCATACCATCTGCATACTCGCTCATGTTTACTGTACAATGGTCAGTAATCATTGAATACTTCTTACACAGATAACCATTATTATGTAAACACTGGTATTATTATATTTCAGTGACTGAGCGTGCTAATCATGCAAAAGATTATTTAGAAGTGGAAGACCTAGAAAAGCTTGATGGGTAAGACTTAAAAACATAAAATTCATTTGAATAGGTCTCCGCACAATGTAATATAAAGTCTAACTGGTTGGTGTTRTTCAGTGTTGTGACTGTTGGTGGTGATGGGATGTTTCATGAGATCATTAATGGGCTTATAAGAAGGACTCAAAGAGATCATGATATTGATACATCATTATCTGACTTCAAACCAATACGGCCTGGTCTGACAATTGGTATCATTCCTGCAGGTAGGATAATATATGTTTTTAATAAACTTGTTGTAATGAAGATCTATGCAAGTGTTGGCTGCAGTTTTGATAAAAAGATAAATACTACACCCTTGAYATTGTGTCCTAGAGAAAGATGCTTTACTCTTACTTTGCCTCACTTAATACAGGAGAATACTGAGCACCAAAATTGTTTGGGAAATCTAACATGAAATAATCATAACCACCCGTCGTACCTTGCRCGCTCGCATTATTGTTTACATACRTTTAAATGCGTCAAGCATACAATGAATTATCGATTGATAGTACCTGTGAGGTACTTAGTTAAAGGTATTTCTGTCCAAACTGAAAGRACGGAAGACGATTTGCACTCACTTTAAGAAATCCTACAAATCCGCCATTTTCGTGTCCACCTAAAATGGCGCTTCGATTCGCAAGGTACGGCGGGTGGTTATRATTCTTGAAGGGGGTATCATRTGTATCCAATGCAGGGGGAGAASCATAGCCCCATCATTCTACTRATAATTGAGTTAAGCACCAACTTAGCGAGTCTTCTGGCTCAAAGAGATGMCTTTACTATTAACTTGCACCTATATCTCATGGTTTGTAGTCATTAATAGCATTTTTGTTATTTGTAGGTTCGACTGACACTGTTGCATATTGTACTACTGGAATCAATGACCCTGTTACCTCAGCTCTACATATAATCATAGGTAGTGCTCATTACATCATSTCTATACACCCTTTTAATAATTCCCAAGGTATTGTTTTSTCCACACTTGACGTCAAATTTATTCTTTTGAAATTTTTACAATACAAAAGGAATTCAAAWGAATAAATTTGACGTCAAGTGCRGAGAACGTAATACCTCGGGACTTATTAAAAGGGTGTATACTGACCATTTATTAGAAATACTTGCCTGGCATTACATCACAGCAATACATGATTGAATTATCATTCTCTTGCAGGTGATGTTCATCCATTGGATGTTTGCTCTGTCAAGCACAGGTCAGAGGTTCAGAGGTAYTCTGTKTCCATAGCAGCATATGGATTTTTTGGAGATGTATTGCAGGAGAGTGAAAARCTTCGCTGGATGGGACCAAAGCGTTATGACTGCTCTGGTTTTAAGAAATTTATGTTGAACAGGTTGGTAWTGATTGACCTTAATACATATTCCAAGGAGCTTGCTATAATACAATATGAAAATYGTTACCATATGTATTTCCAGGGGCTATGAAGGTAGCATTAGATTTTTACATGATGAAGGTCTTGATTCTCATCCGCAAGAYACAACACGCTGCAGGACAGGGTAAGAATTTATTAACTTCTCTCATAAAAACAGTCCATCAGATAAGCCTTCCTATATCATTCATATCTGTGCCGTTGTTTATTTCTTGTTTCATTAGGTGTTTTGTATGCAAACAAGCTCCTCAWGAGAATGACTTTGTTGATAGTTCTGATGGTAATGGTGGTCCAGCTATACAAAAAACCTCTGGTAAGTTTCTGATAGTTGATTTATATAACACGTAAATCTTCAGAGAGGACCAAGTAACCCTATCACCTAGCCTAAGTAGTGGCTATAGGGGAGGGAGGAGGAGGGACCCTTGTTTGCTGCAACAGATATAGTCAAATGTACTGGCCTGATAATATCTTATTGCTTATCACACAGGRTCAAAGTGGAAGACAGTAGATGGCCGGTTCATCAGTATCATAGCCGCCAACATGTCATGTGCCTGTGCAAAAAGTCCCGAGGGCCTCTCCCCTAGTGCACACCTTGCTGATGGCTGTATGGATCTCATATTAGTCAAGCATACGTCTCGGTTCCATTACCTTAGACACATGCTGCGGCTTGCAAGTAAAGCTGATCACGTGAGTATGACGTCAACAGGARTGTGGGGGAATTACGGATAATTTATTTTTTCAATGTTATTTTTTTTAGTTCAACTTTCCATTCGTGGATGTCTTCCGTGTCAAAGAATTTCACTTCAAACCTTTTCATCACGTTGACAACGCCGAGGAAGARGACGGAGGACTGGAGGCCATTAGCGCAGTGCATAGTGACATACAAACACTAGAAGCTGCTTCTAAACAAAGAAAAAACAAACAAAATGTTAGAAGTTCATGGAATGTGGATGGTGAATCAGTAGAACAACCTGTGATCCATGTCAGGTTAGCAGCTTACTTGCCATTACTTTTAGTAATATCAGCTACACACGTTTAATTGGATTTTGATATGTTCCAGTTTTATTCCGACTTAAAAAAAAACCGAACATTTTCCCAATGTCTCCGCTCGTTYTCGGTGTTTGACCAACACACAAGAGTTCAGTCTTTCAAATCTTCCTTTGTGTCTTTGTGTTTTCAGAGTCCATCATCAGTTGATAAAAGTTTTCGCAAGAGGAATTGAAGACTACCATGATACACCGACATGCGCAATATGTTACAGGACTTGATGYCACTTGCCCGTTGTGCGTCCTTCCATTTATAACATAATACGTTAAACTACAGTGTAATGCGTAAAGGATTAAACCAATAATAACGTCAGAAGATGACGTTACTGACGTTTCCATGGCGTCTTTTTCAACGCCAAAAACGTCAGTAGCTTTTTCATCTTACCACGGATTATAAAATGAATTATAACGATTAAATCAAAAACACATTTTTCACAACTTTACGGTCGGAAAGAAGGGGGTTGGTTTATGGAGAGGATTCCGGGCAGGGGGGCCCGGCAGGAAAAAGTATTTTGCGCATGGAGGGAATTATGGGTATGTTTACAAACCCAAGTAAATGTTAGTCATTTCACTTATCAATCGATCAACGCATTGAATAGAGATCTAAGTTTTTCATTGGAAATGTAAGTAATGTATGTAATAAGGTTTTTGTTATACCCATAATTCCTTTCGGTCTGCACCTGTACTAGCTTCTTTTCGCSATGTGTTGGTTTGTTTTTGGCGGTTAAGAGTAAAGTAAAGCGGTAAAATATTCGATACTTTGTAAAGAAAATGTAATAAGGAACAAAACAAAAAAGGTTTTGTTTTTAAATTTTTAAAGATACTTCAAGTGTCTATATAATTGTAGATATTGTAAATCAATTTATTGTAATATAATATTATATTTAATGAAATAATTTAAATAAACAGTTTCATAAATGAATCGTTTTGTGTATTAAACGTGGGTAAAACTTTTGTTTTAATTAATCAAAAGTCGTCAGTGACAGCAGAACTCCCCGTTGAAGTTTCGATACATGGACTTACTGGCATGACGTCCGAAACCCAAGATAACTAGCACATACACTTTGCCACTGCGGCAAACAATGGAAACCTTTCAGTATTGGTGATACCTTCAACATAACATGAATAATTTTGCGATTTTCTCCGGATTTTAGTCACTAAAAATCGGCGAAAAGTTTAGGTGATCTCCATCCAAACTGACACGGTAAACACTGTAAACACTGGTTATCAGTAACAGCATCAGGATATTTATGTTTCAGCATGAAAAATGAAAACTTCCACAGCAGCCATAAATAAGGTGGCTTAAGGTGGCTGTACTGTAGGACATYTGTTACAAAATCCATTTTGGAATTACTAAGCATTTTCTACATCTTACCAATATTTGTCACTAAGCGACTTAACGTATGCGAATAGCATTTAGATCAGTTCTACTCTGTTTATTGATTTCAATAATAGAATCACAGTCAGGCGTAAAAAAGCCGAACCGCAATGCACATCTTTTTTGAATTAAGGTGGCTGGTTAATACTTTTTCACCAATAGCAAGTGTTATTCAGTGTAATCTAATTTCGTTTAGAAAAAAAAAATCAGCGCTGTGTGGGCGACGATATATGTCAACTGAAAATAATGAACAAAAAAATATTTGTGCGCATCCTTATTGGATTAGTAAGCGTTTGGTTGGTTTGTAGCGTGTTTTTCTATACATACAGGTTTATTATTGTACTGTTCGATCGTTTGTCATTATTTGCCAAATGTGACCAAATATGTTGGTGTTTTGTATATTTGAAGGTTGCTTTTCATATTAATCATTTGTACAATTGTTTGCGTACCTTCCAGTCAACCATCACCAAAACAGCTGCTAATTTAAAAGTATAATTAATGTTGGAAAGAAAGCGGAATAATAAGTGGCATCCGATCACTGTCTTCCCACTCGCTCGCCATCTCTTGGTGAAATGGCTCAACTAAGATACAACACATAAAAAGAAACTCGTTTTTCTATGACTTTAACATTCAAAGGATTAAGTCCCAAACCGACGATGTGGCAGAAAGTAAGGCGATCTCTTTGTAGCCTTATCCCTCAAAATGATCAAGAAGTGAAGCCAGATCAACAACGTTCTTCAGCAGTAAACATCTTCTGCTTTATCGTATTTGGGGTGATGAGTTTCTTTAATCAAGAGATGCTTCTAACCGCGTCTGAGGACATTCTCAGTGGATACAAAATCCCTACCCCAGCCATCCTTGTTACTTTCGTTGGCCCGTTAATGGCAGTCAAGTTACTCTTTCCTTGGTGTATTCAAAGAGTGCCATACTGGTTTAAAATCTTAGTCATAGCGCTGCTCATGATGTCTGGTATACTTATGATAGCTTATGGTCGTGACTTTCGTGTTCAGCTAGTCGGAATCGGGATGAACGCCATGGCTACAGGAGCGAGTGAGCTTACTCTACTTTCACTCTCGTCGTTTTATCCTCAAATTTGCATCAGTGCTTATGTGGCTGGTACCGGTCTCTCGTCGCTCGTATCACCTCTTTACTATGCAGGTATGTGTTAAAACTTTCAAGTCAATAAAATATACTGTTCTACGTACTCCATTAAGCGAGCTATTGCTCTTTTCGCACAGCTGTGTGACAGTGTTTGTCATGTACACCCCACCAGTACTGACCCTTTGCTCTTTTTACTACTTGGTTTAAAAAATCAACGTTAAAAAATCAACGTTCTTGTCAAACAAGAGTCCTTTATTGCTATGAGAAGTCTGCGGTGGAAAGGAGGTCAATGAAAATCTTATGTGGTCGCTTTGGATTGGAATTAAAACGGAATTGGGGAATCAGCGCTAGTTTTAATGTATTGCTCTTTCAATATCTTTATTGTCTCACTAATAATAGAATTCATTTTTGCATGTAAATAAGTTTGATTTTAGACATGTTTCTTCTAAAAGACTTAAAACAGAGTAAAAATATAAAAATAATGGGATTTAATGTCAACCTATCGACCATCATGCTTGCGCATCACAAGTCTCATTCGCTTCCGTTTTTCTGCACTGAATGAGAAATATGACTCGACTTGAACTAATATATCTAGGCGTAGAATATGGTCAGTTATTTCATTCTAGTTCATTAGTAGGTTAAGTCAAAGCGATTGACTGTTATTAAAACGAAGGTTTTTAATCATATTGTTTTACGCGTTGGTATTTTGTCTCGCAGGCCCTGCCTTGGCGCTCCTATAGGTTTTCCATTTTTAGATCCTACAAATCTTTATAAATTGTAATTTCCTTGTAAGAAAACGACTGTCGAGGTCGTCGTTCTCAGTGTTTTTCATGGACGTATATACGATGTTCATACTGTATGTTTCTCGTTTTCTTTTTCAATTTCTTATAGGGAAAATGTTGGCCACTTATGAATATTGCTCGTATACGATTTTTTCATACAGCATCGTTTTTTTTTCTAAAGAATTTCGATGTAAAACCTCCATTAAGCTGTTTGTAGTCGGTCTCAATTTGGTCTAACTAGAAAATAATTAACGCCTTGCTAGTTTAATTATTAATCCTAAATRCAATGAAATACTAATGAAAAAGTGTTTCATACTGTTCAATAGACAGTGAAAAACCATGCATGAATATTCGTAATTTTTCTTTTCCAATGAATGCACATGCGTCAGGCATAAAACGTTGATTAGCAGACTGATTTCATTGGCTTAAATCGAGTATATATTGAAAGCGGAATAGAATATAGAATTTGTTAAAATAAAATGGGATATTGAGACCACTCGGACTACATAATTATTCTCCACTGCATCAGTCTCTTTTGATACATAGAAGAACTACAGGAAAACCTCKAAAATACAGTGCATTGTTATTACAGAGGTGTCGGTAGAAAAACGAATTCACATTTTCTGTTTTATTGGTAGGTGTTACGACGTGGACGTGCGTGCCCCCAAGGACCGCTATTCTGATTACAGCACCATGGGCCATATTGTACCTTATCTTCTATGCCATCCTTGACAAAGATCCCATCCATAATGGGCCCACAGAGAACCAAGCGCTGTTAAACTACGAGAAAATCAAAGATTCCGATCCTGAGGACAGTGATGAGGGAGAAATACAGCATTTTAGCCGCGGAGAAGCACCCATCAAGAAACCTAAGGAGATCGACTGTAACGKGAAGATGAACGTATCATGGAAGCTCGTCCCATTCATAATTCCACTATTCTTGAGCTTCTTTGCCGAGTATCTGATCATGTCTTCCATTGTCACAACCGTGTCTTTTCCTGGTAGCGGATTCATGCCACGTGACCATTTCCAGTACTACTCGCTGTCGTACAGGATGGGGAAGTTCGTCGGTCGGTCATACTTATTCTTCTTTGCCTTTTGCTTCGATATGTCGTCGTTCATAAAGTGCCGACACACTTGGGTATTTGCTCTCATCAATATGCTCCACCTCTTACTCTTCCTCTTCGAATCMTGGTACCACTTTATTCCTGGAATATGGCTGGTAATTATACTTTGCTCTACAGTTGGTCTCAACTCTGGACTTATCGTCCTTCATTCACCGCACGCTGTCGCATCCGTCTTGACGCCAGAAGAAAAAGAGTTTGGTTTTGGTTTGCTAACGGTTGGTAACGCTGTTGGCGCATTTACAGCAGGTCTTGTTGGATTAGCAACAGAACCGTTTTTAAAGAAAGAATGTCAGCTGCATTTCCCTCAACAGCAGGAATTCTGTATCACAAGGCAAAGAAACTCCACTGGATGGACAACTAATGTACATTGTTAAATCTATAGACAATGGGATGAGGGATGGGAAATGGGAGGACGAAYGAATTTATTTTGCGAGCCAGCAAGGAAAAATTAATCCTTATATTTTAAGATACATCGAAATGTTAGTTGACTGTGTTATCTACGCCCCTTTCATTATTATTATGTCTGTGTAATCCCACTGCAATTAAGCCATTAACATGGCTTCCTCCGACCAAGTAAATACAGAGAACAGATTCTTGACATTTAAGTAAATGGCTTTCTTTTTAAAGAAAATTTTGGCATTTAAATGGTTTTGCCCTTGAAAATGTTCATTACATCGAAATGTATTTGCTTTATGCAAAACGCATATCCAAATCCAACAACCGATTAAGGAGGATAAAATGGATTTCACAAGCATACAATCAATAATAGGCACAAAGTCTATGGACTACTAAGACTATATTACTGCATTATTTAAGCACTTATTTATGGATACATAAATCCATACGACATGATGCAAATTAACTTATTTATTAATTACAATTAATATCACTCACTTTGAACTTAGCTTTCGTGTTGCCGGTTTGTATTATATTAGGCTACTTAGTACTGGAAAAGATAATGTTCTTCAAAGTAAAGATCGTTACTACTCTAAGTCCATGCGATGTTAAAATATCAAGTGGGATATAGAGTGAAGTCAATGAACCCGTGAAATACATATTTGACTATTACATGTTATTACTCGATAATTCCATTGTTTTCTTTTGTGTCTATTGGACTATTACAGTTTAATTATTAACTTTTATTTCACAGGATCAATGCCTTCACTCTAATAATATTGTATGATGACGATGATAATTGGAACCTCGATGATGATATTTATCATTGTGATAAAGTGTAAAACTAAAGTTAAATTATTTTGAGTAGATATTCTTACAAATATATAAATAGATTATATAACGAAGTAAGTCTTCAGTCGTATAAACGCACTATATAGCAATGCTTTTCACTTCTCGGTTCCCTAAGAATAATGACGTGAAATAATGAAATAAACCAGAGAAACTGGTTATATATATACGTTATATAAAGTATTACATTGCATGGCAAATAGAACGCACTACGCCTTGTGCGACCATCGTCTGCAAAAATGGATGGCAACGCTTTCCAATATTGAATATGTTAAAAGTAGTCAGAAATTGTGATAAATGACAAGAATAAGGGCTTATTTTTGTAAACTTACAAAACTGCGGTATAATACACACGTGTACTTATAAAAATGGGTAAATAAAGTAAAGACGTCAAAGTAGCAATTCAGAACCTTGTTTGATTTTATTTCAATAGCAGATATCTTCTATTCTTCTTTATACAGTATGACCCTCTTACTCACTTTTAATAAGTTTATATAGATTTGAATATGAAAAAAGTGTCACTCCTTCTTATTTGTCCACATTATATATATTGATAAATCCTCTTTCTTTTTCAATTGACATAATTTTAGATATTATATCTGGTGTGCTTACTTTTCTTACTGTACATCATCATATTGATACCCTTTCATGTAGGTCAAAGATATCCATATCTGCATTTATCGTACATTGTTTATCATATTAATGTCTTCTGTACACGTACGCTGAGGGGTCGAGGGGCTATTACTCAGTGACAACGCCCTTGCCTTGGTCCGGAGTAGTTCAAGTCTGTCTCGTAATGCGTGAACAAAGCTTTTGTTTCTGTAAGCATACAAGAGAGGGTTTATCAGACAGTTTAACGTGAATGCAATGGTTGGTATGACACCRGTGATGATCTCCTTGACAACCGGGTCCAGTCCCTTCGTGAAATGAAACGACACCCAAAGCAAACCGATGAAGACTGGGAAGCAGAAGAAAAACATGTTGCAGCCGACCATGACTGCGATTTTTCTTGCTACTGCACTATCCGCTCGATTAAATCCCTCTAAGCCATTGTGTTTAACAAATCGATAAATACGAATATACAATGGTATTGTGGTTAAGTATAGTGCCATGCTACCGATCGTGAGACCGACACCAAACTCGTACATGTGAGGAATGTCTTTCTTGCGATATAATGGTATACAGTACGTATTGGTTGTATAGACACCAATTCCACACAATGGCAGTATAGCGAYTACTATTGCAATAATCCAAGAACTGGCTGCACATCGGATGGCGTGCTTTTGACGCATGCGCACTGCTGGAGACATACAGTACACAATAGCGAGATAACGCTCAACGGTTAGAAATACTAACGTCATGATTGTCACACACTGCGCCATTAGCCACATAAAACCTAGACATGGACAGAAGGAATGCATAACGACGTAGAACTTGACATAAGGTATCTTTCTTATGCTTGTGATAAGGATTGAATACAGCGACAGACAAGAATCACTCAACGCGATGTTACAGACAAGGATCATGGCAACGTTCGTTCGTAGTTTAGGAGTAACTAAAGTATTAACGATTACAATAAGGTTAAGAACYAATGCGATTGGACCAAGAATAAATTCAATATTTAAGATATGATTATCCATATCCCAGCAGCGATGTATTGGTATTGACGTCACCAGCGTTTGATAACAAACATTATTGGACTCAAAACAGGCCGAATAAAAACCATGTTTTGCGAATAGCTGCAGATGATTTGAGACAACGTRTTTCATTCCTCGGCATTCTCCCTCTTTTCGTCGGAAAAATTCACCATCTCTAAATTTTTGCAGGTCKGGATAACTAAAGTTACGCACAAGGGTACASTGRGTACACYTTTYGTTCAAGGAAGCTCCTTTGATGGTTTGGACTGTACTTTGAAGAATGTTGTTACTAGGCAACCAATCATTTCCTGTGACGTCAATGACTTTTAAGTTTGGAGTTTGCGTCGAAGTGTTTCCAAGCCATTCTGAAACTTTGTTGCTTCTAAGATTTCTGGGAAAGAAAAATATACAATAAAAAATGTTTATTATTTTTCAGTCACCTCGTGCAACGTGTCGCATATTAGAATCAATTTAACTAGTTTGCCATAAARAAAACATATCTTACAGGAATCGCAAACTTGTGAGCCCCTCAAGGCTTTGGTTTCCAATGACCTCGATCTCATTATTGGCTAGGGACCTGGAAACAAACAGAGGTAAACAGAGGTAAGTATCACATGACAACATACATCCCATAATGCAATGCGTCATTCGTTCTGAGATCATCCTTTACGAGTGTCTTTTTGAGTAATGATGTCGTTGTTTCCACCACCGATAGCCAAAATAATTTACAAAGACTAGTAAAACTTTYAAGTCTCTCATTACAAACTTGTCATTGCTAGTGTTTACTCCATACATGTACAYTTGTTATAATTAGTACTTACAAGTTGATGAGGTTGTCAAATCCAGTAAAGAGTAGCCTTTGTAGGTAAGTGATGCGACAGGACGAGAGATCACTGGAAATTAAAAGCRCACTCTCAGAACGACACTCTTCATAACTCAATAAATAGAGGATACTTACAGCGAGGAAACACGGCTAGGCGTCTGGATGTATGTTTTCAAATCTTCTATTTTGTCAAGTTTGCATTTGGCGGTTACGAAAGTACCGACATCCTTTGCACACTGACAATAACGCGTGTCACACATTCGTGTCTGCTCACCGTTTATTTGTGACACCGTGACAAAAATCGCAAGAACATCAAAGACTTGCATCTTTGATCTAAGGGAAAAAGAGAATAAAATAGATATATTTTGGTTCTGGACATTGCTGGATATAATGCCATACCGTCTGTCACGGTACAACTTTGAAATGTCAATCAAATTCCACATCTCAAAGGTGAAGAACACCCGAATACYGTTCAGGCATAAGACATTAACACGCGAAATATAAAAACGTYTCTTAAATAGTTTTCAAGAAACAGCGACACTCCTCGACGTCCGTTTTCCTTGGGAAGGAGATTTGATTTATGCAGCTATGATAAGTTCAAAGTGTGTTGTGATAGGCTTGAAGTTCACTGTTTTGATATGCTGGCCTGACATTTTTTGAAAACTAAAGGAAATGTCTTAAAATCTAAAGAAAACAAGCAACGCGTATATTAAAACATCATTTGTCTTTTGCCAAGAATCATGRGTTTTTTAATTAGTGTTATTATGGTTGATTTTACCGTTAATATGCAACACGTCGCAAGAAAAAGGTTGATGTCATGCAAGCATTTGGTTGAATCCATATCACTGATTTTAACAGTTTTATCAAAAGAGATGATCAGCATTTCATCTTGTTTTCAAGTAATAGATATTGGACATATTCAACACAAGATGATATGAATATTGATGTCGTGGTGGTCAGGTCGACAATCCATGAAAAAAACACTTAATAAATTCGCGATTTGACTCGTTAAGACACGCTATTAAACTTAAATTAATTATATTTCACCTTACCTTGATGTTGCTMAACTTTCAAATCATGCACTGCAGAGGTTTGTTGAATAATAACCTAACAGACACGTTATTGTATGCATACAAGAGATTCAATAATGMGACTAATACTGACTCTCCACTGCGTCAAAGCACAATTAATGGCTTCTATGACGTCACAAGGTCAATAAGGATCGACATCGAATGAAGCAGAACTCAGATTCTGTAAACCAAGCACTTGATACACACCAACACTGCTTAAAAGTCACAAGGTCAACAGAAAAAATCAGGAAAATTTAGTTCAAGGAAATAGTTAGATTGTTAAGCCGACGCGTGATTGTCTGGTGGAACCTTTTCATCACTTTTAACAAGTTTTCGTTTAGTGGTCTATAGCAAAACCATATACACTGTACTGCGAGGGGAGGGGACGGAGCTATTGATTTGTGGATGCTGAATTCCCTTTTATAGTAGTGGCTCTATACCCTGAGGTGGAAGGGGTAGGGGTGTAGTGGAGCGCATCAATATCTAGTCGTGATCAATATTGACAAGTGCGCGTAGGTGGTAATGTTTAATAAATTCATCCAATCGTACAATACACATCAATTAAGGATTATTATTCCAAGATCGTTTTATCGTTCTTAATAGAGCTTAAACCCACACCTCTAAATACACCTTAAATTTTAGCAATAATTGCGTTGTGAACATCTAGAACTGCTCCCCTCCCGGTGCCATTCCCAACCTGTTCCGTTTTATCTTAACATGGTACAAGTCCTTCCTTACGACTATTTCTGTCTCCGTTATCCATCGGTATGCATCTTTTGTTGCCGACATTTCGTTTTCCATTAAACTTTTAAAAGAAAAACCAATAAAAAACGCGCAAATTCCAGGACAAGTATTCATTGAAACTTGAAAATCTGAATCAAACATCTGCTATGATGCTGCCATCTTTGTACGTGAGTATTGGCTAAACCAAACAATTCAAGCTTGGAATTAGACACACGTAAACTGCTGATTCACGTTATCCTTCACCTGAAATCCATTTGAGCATATCCAATTTGTAGACCATCACTATTATCATCATCATCATCATTACGATCATCACTGATCATCATCATTATCGTCGGATTTGAACATGCTGTCACATTTCGGGGTGGCGGGCATTTTTCCCATCAAACCTTTTTTTCAAAGAATATCAATAACATTGAATAATGTTCAAAATAAATATGGTGAAAATAAAAACAGTGATCATTTTGTTTAGTCATCATCATTTGACTCGGACTCTAGACGTCAACTTGCTTTCCACAACTCAGCTTATGGCAAACCTAATACCATTTCCAATAGCTGAGTTACGCAAATCTCAAGAGGTCAAAAATACAGGTTTTACGCATTTACAAATCTACAAGAGATATGGTCTCATACGTGATGTTGAAAACCAAAGTGACAACAGTTCTTGTCTGCATTGAGTCTCCATTACATCATTCAACCTGATAAACATCATGACGCTCTTAAAACATTCACTAAGACATTTCGTCTAGAGCTCGAGTCATAAAGCTGGCTATTTATCACAATAGTTCAATTTACTGCTGACAAAATAAGTGGATAAATGTGAATGCTTCACTTAACGTACAAGCCTTTCAGACATCTCATGTCCAATCTCAAACTGGAGAAGGTCTCCCGCGGTTTTTGGACGAATAAGTAATAATTAGCGGGTCAAAGGCGATAAAAAGTGCTTCATTGCTTTGTTCTGAGAGCTGACTGCATGGAGTCAGGATTAATAAAATCAGTGGGAATTGAGTTTCAGTACAATGCAGGAAAAAGCGCGCAAAAAACTAACATCTTCATAAATACATTCATTCAAAAACATTTCAAAACAAAGGTGATCCCTCTAAACTTTAGTTAAAAAAAGCAGCACTACTTGGGAACATTACAGCACGATCAATATTGCTGTTGTTTTAACTTTCTTTAACTGAAAAAGGTAAAAAAATATTTGCAATCAACAGTAACGATTGTCAAATGATTACCATGGAAACCATGATATGACGTCACTGAGATCAATCTCCAAGGCAATATTATTAGGATTCTGAAGCAATTACTCAAGCACTGCCAAGAATGAACGCTATGAAACAAAAACAGGAAGTGCAACACTTGATAGAACTGGGTGAGGTCTTTTGGGTGAGTTATACTTACACTAGTACAGATTACTGAACATCGAATATATCAGATTATCATTTAAGCCATAAAAAAATAAAAAATATATTGAACATCACGAATCCCTTACTGTATAATTTATTAATCTTATTATCGAAAGTATTCCACAATAAATATTATCGTATTAGTTATAATTTTAA